GCCTCCCGAAAACGATAAAAGCGTAAATTGGATTCCGCAAGCAACTACACGAAGAAAGGTCCTAACACAGTGAGACCGTGCAGTATACAGTATACATGTATATATAGTTAGTGACTGAAGGATCTTATTATTAAATAGGTGATGATGTGCAATTTTCGTAAATCCGTGCATGTTTTGGGGGATCGTTTCTTATAGAAAAAGAAGACGGGAATCCCAGAAGTGAATGAATTGCCTGACCAAAGACCCATCTCATGATGGTAGAACCACTGTAGTGTAGGTTTTATTCATGAAGTATTTACGTTCGTTTTTTTATTAATGTTATAAAATGTCATTGGCTCCATGTTAGAACACACACACACGAGCGCGCGCGCGCGCACACACACACACACACACACACACACACACACACACACACACACACACACACACACACACACACACACACACACACACACACACACACACACACACACACACGCACATCGTGTGGTACACACCATGCTAGACACAAATATTCAGCCATGTGCAACAATTAGAGCATCTGGCTTGTATCATCTAACGCAATGCAACACGACCTACAACTCTAGTATCGCATGTGTAATTCGATATATTGCAACAAGTAGTGCCATAAAAGTGCTCTTACACAGCTTGGGTGTTTTATAACCTGTCAATCGATACAACCCATGTTATATGGCGGGGTGAGAGAACACATTTAGCGGGTCAGAGCATTCGGAATATTCTGCTTCAGGTGCTCTCGCTATTATACAGCAGACGACGTAGATATACCACTCTAGTTTGTAATCTGGTATACAATGTATGGTACATGTATGGTGAGCACGGTAGAATAAGGTCGGGGAAAGGTTCAGCTGCACACAACACACAACTTTGTATTCCCTTGGTGAATTCAAGCACTCTACACGTAGAGACCTTCAACACCTTACAGTAAGGTATTGCATGTAAACTGGCAATAAAACCACCATTCTGTAGGCATACTGAATGTTTCTTTACGTTGCAGGTCAGGATGTATATTCATCTAACAATTCTGATCGATACCTTATAAGCTGCGAGAATACGAAACGCCTATTTTCGCCAACGGGAGGAAAGCTTGCTGTGATTGTGATTGTCAATATGCCGGATACTTGTATGTCCACATAATACCGGAGGAAAAGATGAAATGTACTTTGCTGAATTATGTAGGCCCATCCAATCTCTTCACTTAAACCATGTCAATCAATGCCAATCCTCGGCGCTCTCTCGGCGATGGTATGACCAGATTCGAAACAGTCGCCGAGGTGACGGCGGTCATGGCGCTCTCATCGCACTCCCATGGCGACCTTGGCGCTCTCTCCGCGCTCTGGCCCAATTTCAGGTCGCAGAGAGAGCGCCGTGAGAGCGCCGTCTAAGTGGAATGGGAGTATTAACACTAACAGTCATGTACACCGCATCTCTACTCAAAATGTATTCTGTAGCGGACCAACTCCCCGTCCCCTGATACGAGTATGTCTGTCTTTCTAGCCAATTTTTACTCTTTCCAGGCTGTTGTTTCATAGCACGTATCGCCGAAGCAACGCGTTTCCGAAGAGAGGATGTTAAGTACTAGTGTTCTGACAGCACTGTTTTTGGGAGAACTCCGATTGGGAAAAAGATGGATAACTGACTGAAAGGCATCAATTGTCGCCTCCCTCTGCTACATGTGACAGTTCAGTTCGGGGACGTCTCTCGTCTCGGAGATAGGATAGCGATGATTGCTTCCCAGGAATTAACAGTCTTTTACAGTAAAGCTCGCAAATCGCCTGAACAGTTGTTTAACCACCTCGTCCCAGACAGACTGTGTGATTTATACCTCCATAACGAAATCACGCCCGCCTGGCTGCGAGCTGGGGCCTTACTGTTAGCCTGATTAAATCGCGTTACCAGCGGCTCGCTTGTCAAATAACCAGCCCCTTATTGGTACTTTTAGGACTGCATTGAAATACTGGTCGTTCCTTTAGAGGGAAATGACCACACGTTCTAGAGAAGGGGGCCGTAAAGTCCTGTATGTAATTCTGAAGTCACAATTCTAAACCGGGGCCCGGCCGGACTGTTTAAATGAACTAAAAATAAAAATATTCACATCAAGAATATGTATAGAAACGTTTTGTGTTTCTTGTTGTCTTTTATATCATACTTTTCATTCCCTCAGACTGCCAGGCCGGGCCCCGGTTTGGAAAGCGTAACACGGGCTGCCTTACCGTGCGTGGCTTGATGAAAACTCAGTGACGGCAATATTTAAGTTTTGCTAAGTACTTCCGAAAGGTGGCCTGTATTAGCTTTTTTTCGCACTTTTCAACGTTACAGAGAGCAACGACCAACGTCATACATGTAGTTTATACGTCATACATACTGTTTCATACATGTAGTCCATAGAGGTTCGAAATGCAATCTGTACCAGCCTGTATTAGGCATGCCCCTCAATCCTCAGGAGCAATTTCTCCCCGCCTGGTTTGTCTATAACGGATAGTTCTGGCGGTGACCTCCACTTAGCGTTCTCCTGAGAGGTCAATCGACCGTGGAGAGCCCGGTGTTTGGAGAGAGGAGGAAGCAAGCAGAATAACGTCGTTGTCTGGAAAGATACGGCGTGACAATACCCCTCTCATGTATATCCGAGGAGTTGTTTTGTTATGGAATTTTGACTTGGAGTCGGAGAATTTCGAAGCTACTGCAACAGTGTTTGAGTTTTTGCATAGAAACGGACAAATCAGAAACCTGAATCCCCCTTGTACATGCTGCGTATATGCGATTACGTACTAACTGCATATTTTACTGGGTCCTGACTAAATCCGGATCTGAAACCCGGACAAAAAGTTTTCTAAAAAACGTTGCCAAGAAAGGTAACGTCGGCATGAATAACTGAGCTACCATTCTTACAGAGCGCTCTACTTATAATTGGCTTCCTTCTGCTGTAATGAGTATCATTCATACTCAACATCCGCAGGCGAAAGTGCCTCACTAATGATAACTATTCAACACTTTGCTATAATTGCCCCCTTTCAAACTGCCGCATTTTTTCTATCAACTATTGACAAGCCACCGACGTAAGTACCGGATCCACCTGTACGTAGAATGTTATTTTTGGCAGCTCACCTTTGGAACATCTTTCGGATGACGTCAGTGTCCTTCCGTTCAGGTCTAGTGTCGACGGGACTCCTTCAGGAACAAGAATAGGTGGGAATTCGAAGTAGACGGGGGCATCAAGCCGATTTCACACACATATATGAGCCGCGCCATCGCCCAGACGTAACTGCATACATGTGTCCCGGCCGCTAGGTGCGTCCTGTGGAAGACTCCGTCCGTCTCCGGACTGCCAAGCGCGCTCACTACCCGGGGATTTTATTGGACGGGGATGACTTGGCACGTACCACAGTGAAGGCTTGGTGGGGGTGCGGTTATTTCATTGCACTCATTCACAAGTTAGACAGACCATCGCTGCTCAAAGATGAAGTTTAACAAATATCAAGAATTTCTTGTATGCTTCAAACTCTGTAGGACGCTGATTACCTTCGCCAAGAAGGTTATGTTTTCAGGGGCGTTCGTGTATGTGTGTGTTTGTGTGTGTGTGTGTCTGTAAACACGATAACTTGAGAAGGCCTTGATGGATTGTCTTGATACTTGGTAGGTGGGTAGGTCTTGATGAGACCTCAAAATGATTAGATTCTGGACCCCCTAGCGGCTTATTATGGTACTGCAGCTGAACTTCCGGTTTTGATATCTCATGATCTAGACATGCTATGGTGATGAAATTTAGATGGTAGGTAGCTCTTGTGCTGGGAAAGAAGTGACGTGAGTTTAGGCCCCCTAGCGGCTTGCTCTGGAACTGCAGGGATAAATTCTTGAAAATATTCAAAAGGGGATAACTCAAGAACCGGTTGACGGATCGTTGTGATTTTTGGTATGTAGGTAGCTTATGTGATGCTTAATATAATTGTGTGACAATTATGCAAATATGGATGTAATTTGCATAATTTATGGGGAAATTCTATAAATCAGCTCCATTCAATGATAGGACAATTGAAGCTTGTGACATTGGTAATTGACAATGAGAGAAACACAGGAAGATATTGATTATATTAATAATGACTTAATTTGCATAATTAATGAGAAAACTTTATAATCATGTAACGATAACTGCCTGGAATTTCATACTTGTGGTATTTGAAAGTTAAATTGAGGTGAACATCATTAAACATAATTTATTCAAATCAGAACCTCATTTGCATAATTTATTAGGAAATGCTAGAATGCATTGTTTGTTAATATAAGATTGTCTTTTGGTTGAAATTATGATAAAATGATATACTTCATGAAAATTAGGTTCCTATTTCTTAAATCAGGGGGGAATAATCTAATCTAAACTTTGTCAGTCATAAAGATTAACATCATTTGGCGAAGGTATGAGATCGGGGAACTCTAGTTTAAATTTGCGGCGAGTGGAATAAACCATGTCCATGGGTTTAAGAACTGTAGGTACGGCCTAATTACAACTGGCTCTTTGCATTTTGAAATGACCTCGGTGCCGAAGTGTAGTCGTAGCTATACCCATTCAGTCCAGAATACCTGATGGCATGATGATATGGCCTATCTCACACACAGGGTCTATAACCACGCAGCGTTATACACGGCCGGGGGTGTAGTTGATTGTGATATTAGCATTCTCAAACGGCGGCGAGAGAGCTCCTACAGTCCCGAAGAGAGCCCTACCAATCCACGATAGATACCTGAAGAGGCTAAGGTGGTGCTGGTGTATTCATGGCATGATAATACGTCAATTCCAGTTGACACAAAATCACATATTGCTGAGTACATGACTGTACATAATACAAAAAAATGCAATATCAAGGTGCCTGACTTCTAGTCTGTTCCAGTCCCAAGACATTTCCTTGTACATCTTAACAATTTCCTTATTACCCTTGTTGAAGAGGATCTAAAGGACAAGACACGACGTTTCAGCGTCTCCTTCTTGTAAGATGGCAGCAAGATAACGTATTTATAAGTCTTTTCGCCCGTAAAATGGGCGCCCATAATGATGTTTGCGCCGCCATTGCATTCCAGAACTGGCTAATGTTTGCAGATTATCGGGGCAAAATTAGATTAAGTCGCAAGGAAGCACTTATTTTCTGACAGCTATGTGCTTATGCACTAAATGTTGACTCCGTTTTACGCTGAATTATTCAAAAGTCTTACTTGTATCGACGTCAATAGATTTTTCAAATAGAAAGGCCGGAAAGCCAGACATTTATGTAAGTTGATGACACACGATATACATGCATAACGTTAGGTGCTCGAGCTCTGACTATGATACTGCATTTGAAGAAAGAAAAAAAAGGTGCATTTATTCATTTGGACAGTTATTAAAACAACTATTAATTTAGTTGTGAGCTGCTATTAGACTTACGTAAAAAGTGCATAAAAGCATTTCCAGTCTAATGAACAGATTATAGGATGTCATTCATGCATCATCGAGAACCGCCATGTTTTACAACCTGTAGTTTACAGGTGAGCCGCTGGAGGCGTTGTCATGTTGACCACGGCTGGAGCGGCAGGCCTGAAAAGCAAATATAAGAATATGTTTCATTTGTATAATGTCATTGGTTTCAGTAAATTTTGAGCAATTTTCTTACATTTCACTGCAAGGGTTCAATTTTATCATCAAATGTAGAGATATAGTTCTACTTACTAAGGATTTGAGGTTTATTTTCTGTGGACTACAATAGTACATCGCACATTTTTTTTCTGTGTGTTGTTTATTCTACAAAATTAATTCACATGCATCCCTTGTGTTGTGACAGATGTTTTTCTTACACACAAATTTAACATTTAAACATATATGTACATACAGAGTTCTATGTAAGGCCACACCGACTTAATTTTATGGATCTCATTGGACCCCCAAACTAGTGCACGCGGGCGAATAAAATAAAAATCCGGCCAAAAATAAAAATGCTACTAAACCACAGGAATACAGAGGTAAAGCTGGTATTGTGAATTTACGGCAGAACATAGCAACATATACGACAGGCCGGCACAGGCTGGCTTTTTGCGGATTTATGAATCGGCACTGTACGTATGTACTGAGATCTTGAGTCGTGTAGCTTTGGTAGCCTGGTTGCCGTCCTCTGGCTCCGTACTGTCGCTATATAGCAAGCTACCATCCAGGCCATAGCCTCGGATGACGTGATCCTTTTTTTTTTTTGAGAACAGACGAAAATCAATGCGCGCGCGGATGTCATCCATAAAATTAAGTCGGTGTGGCCTAAATGTTCCTTACTGGCAACATGAGCATCCACAGGCACAGTTCTTCACTTTTCCCGTGCACATGGCACAACCTGTCAACAAAAGATAAATATTAACACAAATATACGTTCTACATGTAAACCCATACACTCTAAACTATACAATATGTAGAATCATTTCTGTTCTAAAGTAGAGCTGTGTGTGCTTGGATTAATTCCGACGGATGGGTACTCTCTCTACAACAGAAACGTTTTTTTAATCCCTCTCATTCTCAGTGAAAGATACAAACAAGCGTTTATTAGAATTACACACCTAGAAAAACATACAGAAATTAGCAATGAAAAAGTGTTATTGAAGCATCACTGCGCATAGTAATAGAGAATCATAATGATATGTTTATAGATTTAGGACTTTAATTTATGTTTTTAATTAACTGAATCTTTGTTATATCTTTTGTCTGGCCCTTACCTCAATGAAAAAAAAGTAGCCTGCAGGTCGATTTGAGCTTCTCATGAATAGTTGCAAAAGTTACTAATTAAACAACCGGGGTACTTACAGGTGACAGACACATTGCCGTGCAGTTTGCAGCCGACACACTTACAGCCGTCCCCACACCGACAGTCATCCCCGCACTGACACGTCCCGCCGGCACACGAGCACGCACCGCCTGGGCAGTACGAACGTCAGGGAAAAGCACGTCCGAATTTTTAGTATTACCGAAATTAAAGCACGTAGTTTTCATAGACGTCCACCTGATATCAAAACTCACATGCTAGCCGCTAGTCGGGGTGATGGTACTGTATGTGCAACCCCATAAATATATGGGTCCCGCGGGACAAGGGATTTTATCATCATAGCAACGCACGCCCTTCAACAGTCACTGAACTACGTGAGAGGTGTGCAGTGAGCCGAACCAGAGCCCGCCATATTATAGGCAAGGATACACTGTATTTACATATAAGCAAGGATATAACGTTGCCAGATATTTAGAGTACTATAATACGTTATTGTCTATTGAACAAAGCACTGCGTGCTATTCAGAACTCTTAAGAGCTAAAGAGTGGCAATGACTTGGAATTTTGCGCTCGTATAACAGTTACGTGTTCTGCAGCATGTACTGCGTCTAAATACAGTTCAAAGTCCACTCAGGTAACGTTACTATTGGATACGAACTCCTGAAGTTTATATAAAATGCAGATTCTGAAGTTAAATATGGTGCTACTCACTCTGCGCACAGTTACAGGGATCAGGCATTTTGTTGTGTCGTTCTGTCTCGATGGCTATTGTCGTAAATGCGGGGATCGTGAAGATTCAGTCCACTGTTCAGGTGCTTTTGCAGTCAGTACGCAAGGAAACTCTGGCCTACTGCCCCGAATAACGTTGACAGGCATGTGGTTGGACAACACCACATTTCAGAGGCAAGCTGGATATCATAACTAGAAAAAAGCCGTCTCAATAGATGTGTGCTAAATTGAACACAATATACAAATGTACTGCTATTGTGGTCGAATTAACTTTTAGTCACATTGGAAGCACCATTAAAGGCGTTTGATATAACAATAATAAGATAATAAACATTTACACCCCCTCACATTAAATGTGATGATCCTTCTTACTAGGAAGTTGAAAGGTCACGAAGGAGAGTTGAGCATGACGTCATACATTCAGACCCACCTGTTGTGAAGCATACTCACCTGGAGCAGAAAGTTCAAATGACAAAACAACACGATTGTGGAAATCCGTTGTGTCGTCCTTTGTGGATTGCTGCCTTTATCGCTTCAGTTTCTAAGGTCTTGCCTTATTCTTCATTTGGTAAGTTATACCTGATTCTTTGTGATACTTTCCCAAAATTATTATGGCCACTTCATTGGAAAAGAAAAGGGTGATAACCCCAACCTACCCCCCACCCCAAATTATTAATTACAATCCATATTTACGATTTTGGCACCAACAGTTGAAGTCCTTGTCTTCCTTGCTGTTACAGTTTTTCAATCAACACATTCATTATACATAATTATTGCATTCAAAGGTACCCAGCTTTTTATTTTGACTTTTTTGACCCCTATATATATGGTGGGACTTGGAAGTGATTATCTATCACAAGCGACTAGTCCTGCTTTTTCTAGTTTGCTGCTTTCAATTAAATTTTCTACAAAAAAATCCAACATATCAAATTTGTGGAGCCTAAGGTGTTGAGAAATATACCATTACATGTATTTGTTTATCTTATCTGCACATAGTTTTGGTTACAAAGCAGTCCAAAGTAGGGCAACACTCAACTGTTGGTTGAGTGCCGTGTGCACATGTTTTTACCTGGGATGCAGTGTGCACACCTTTTTTTTTCAATAAGTAACTTATCAAGTGTGCCACCCAGAAAGACTGAGTGCAAAAGCAACTGAGGTTATATCACTAACATGTAGGTGTGCAAAACAAACAAGACATAGCAAATTCTATACGAAGTAGCTGAGTCAAGTATTTGCGAGTTTGACACCCCCCCATCATACCCTTTGGAGGGTGTGCATGGGGCAATAGATTATTAGAATATTTTTGTTGGCGCCAACGTACGATTGTAGCTTTTATTATTATTCATCAAAAAATGAAGTTTTCTGATGCTGGGAATTGACAACAGTCTGCATTCTGTCTTTGAAAAAATTAATGAAAAGCGCATTAAAACATGATGACGTCATGCATTTTTTACCAAAATGTTTTTGGGGGAACCTTATGTCACAAGCTACCAATATTCAATACAAACCAACTTATCTCTCACTTCTTTAATGAGAAAACAATGTAAAGTAAAATCACTAAATTAGCCACCCCAGAGACTGAAAACAAAGTTGGTAAGGTTAATTAAATGAATTGACAAACTAATTTTCAAGTTCAAAGTAACTTTTGGGCCATTCCATTAAAAACACATAGCAAACTAGAAAGGCCAATATTTGCTTTGGAGCAAATACAGCGATGGGTTCACCACATTTTACGACGTCATGGCAGGGAAAGAATGAGAAACACAAGGGAAAACAATGATTTACATTGATATAACTATAATATGAAGTAACATACAACTAAGACTACAACAGTTGGCTAGCTATTCCCTACATTATTGGTTAGGATTTTTAATTGCATAATGCAAACTGTTGATTTTCAAAAAAAAACGTTCATGCCCCGCATTCCAATGCTGGAGCAGGAAAGCTTGAAATACCTACCAAAACACTTGAATACAGACATACTGTCAGTATGGAAATGGTCTGTGCAGGTGTTAATCAAGTTAAATCCCAACAGCCAATCAGCAAGAAATTCTCTGTGCAGGTGGAAATGGTCTGTGCAGGTGTTAATCAAGTTAAATCCCAACAGCCAATCAGCAAGAAGAAGAGAGGAAAGCTGCATGCCTATTGGTTGATGCCCTGCATTCCATTGTGATGACTCATGCCAAAATGTGGTTAACACTGCCCACTGACACAGTAATACATTTGCTATAATACAGCCAAAAAACTCAAATAAAACCATTCTAAAAGCCTGTATCACAAAAATTTAAAAAACGCCTAAGGGTATTTGCCCACTGTACCTCCATACCAAATTTCAGGACCTTGGGCCCTAAAATGAAGAAGCTGAATCCATTTAAAAAATGGCAGGAGGAGAAGGAGGAGGAGGAGAAGAAGAAGAAGAAACACCAGAAAAAGCAATATGGTTTCACCACACCACTTCGTGGTGTGGTGAACCCATAATGATACCCTCAAAATAAGGGGGCTGTTAAAAAATCTAGAGGTGGTCTTAAAAATAAGGTTTGCAAGGGTGACTGGATAATTGATTTCTGTCCAATACGTCTAAATGTTCCTAAATAGCTATGAGGCAGAAAAATTACCTGGATCTTCAGCAATTATCCCATTTGACATTACTCATCACTTAAGGTATCATGGATGCACACTACACAGTTAATGGAAATAGTTCAATTCCTTGTAAATCTGTAAATAAATTTTACATCAATAAAAATGACTTTATATCAATAAAAATGTGTTTTTTTACAGAACGACACTAGCTCTGCTGTTGACTATGCCTTTAAGGTAAACATTCAGGACCCAGGGTTATGCTTTACATGATAAATTCAGGAGGGATGGAAAGACTTAACGGGAAATCAACTTTCGAAAGGTTTTTGGAAAAAGTTCCAGGCACAGAAACCCTCCTTAATTTGCATGCCTGAATGTTTCTCTACACCACACAACAGTTTCATACTTTGGATGACTTCATATTTGTTAAGTTCTCAAGATTATGAGGCCTTCTTGACCAACTAGCAATTATGCATACTCCAACAAATAAACAAGACTGTGGTGACATAGCAACAAAGAAATTTATTTTTATACAGACATTAAGTTATAAGTACATCTGATTTCAGTCAAATTCTTACATATTTCCCATTACTAAGTATGGTTTCAATTCACTGAAGTCCTATTCAGCTTTTAAAGCAGTGTATGTTTCTTTATTCCTAGATCTTCAGTTAATTTGCAACATTAGATTTCCTGAATAAAGCATCATTAAAGCATCAGTGCTAAAAAATAGAGCATAAGCATTACATTTCAGAATTCTTAAAACCTGTCTGAATAAAACATTTTAAATAGTTTGATTTCAATTTTTCTCACAAGTAATTCCTAAAACTAAAAGGATAGAAAATATACTTTGTGTCGAAAATGCATGCTGTGCTATCGCGATATAGACAGTTATCCTTTACTTTGTGGCCTATATAAAGATACAAGATATTGGAAGTTAGATTTTAGAGTATAACATGCCAGCTAGATATTGGAATGTACACGATGCTGTTGATGTCCAAACTAGCCAGTCAACCACGGTGTCCTGTGGAAGCAACAAACTATCATTAGTAAAAGTCATCTGTCAAATATCCTGTTATGTATATGGAACAAAGTTCTGTTTAGCCCACAGGCTCCACACCAATCTGACTTCTTGTTTCTTTGATTTTTTTGTAGAAACCAATAAAGCATCAAATCACTGCCTTGATAATTGGAAAAACCATTAAGAAAACAAATGGTACATATTTAAAAAAAACAACAACAAAAAAAACAGGAGCGGGTGAATTCCAGAACTATCTTTATGATACTGTTTGAGGACTTGCAAGTCATTAAGTCTGCAAGTCAATGAAGAAAGACAGTTTTTAAACAATAGCCTGTCCTATTTACCTGTGGTGTGCATAAGTTGTTTCTCTTCACTTGCAGCAGTCACAGCTACAGGTGGTACAGCCAGACTTGCAACCGTCACACGAGGCACAGCCTGAAACCAGAACAACATTCACTACACACGATACTCCCATTTTGTACCTAGGTTACTTTGCAGTACAGGACAGTCACTCCGTTTAATCAATCTCTTCAAATGTCTGATTCAAATATGCTGTAAACTGACAAAATCACTTCTAGAGTGAGATCTTGAGTGGCCAGCTATTGTAACATGATGGAATTAAGAAAAGTAATTTCCAGACTGATACAGATGTTCACATGTATTAGTATGCTTTGAGTGTACACATGATTCCCCTTCATGGCCCTTTGGTATCCAGAATATTACAGTAAGAGGTGCTGAAGACCTTTAAAAAATACAAAATAGATTATAATGTTAAGATGACAATACTTACACTTGCAGCAGTCACAGCCACAACTGTTGCAGCCAGGGTCACAGCCAGGGCAAGAGGCACAACCTGGAACAAGAACATAGTTTACATATGATTGGTTAGAAAACCTAATACCTGTAGTCATGGAATGCTTTTACTTTAACATTAAGGAAAAGAGGAATGCACATTTCATGTGAAAATTTGTGGTAGACTCCAGCACTGGGAAAATGCCCCATAATATCATTACTCTAATATATCATTATTAATAAATAAAAAGGCCAATATTTGCTTTGGAGCAAATACAGCGATGGGTTCACCACATTTTACGACATGGCAGGGAAAGAATGAGAAACTCAAGGGAAAACAATGATTTACATTGATATAACTATAATATGAAGTAAAATACAACTAAAACAACAGTTGGATAGCTATTCCCTACTTTATTGGTTAGGATTTTTAATTGCATAATGCAAACTGTTGATTTTCAAAATAATAAAAAACGTCCATGCCCCGCATTCCAATGCTGGAGCAGGAAAGCTTGAAATACCTACCAAAACACTTGAATACAGACATACTGTCAGTATGGAAATGCTCTGTGCAGGTGTTAATCAAGTTAAATCCCAACAGCCAATCAGCAAGAAATGCTCTGTGCAGGTGGAAATGCTCTGTGCAGGTGTTAATCAAGTTAAATCCCAACAGCCAATCAGCAAGAAGTATAGAGGAAAGCTGCATGCCTATTGGTTGATGCCCTGCATTCCATTGTGATGACTCATGTCCAAACGTGGTAAACAAGGCACACTAACACAGTAATACATTTGCTATAACACAGCCAAAAAACTCAAATAAAACCATTCTAAAAGCCTGTATCACAATAATTTAAAAAACGCCTAGGGGTATTTGCCCACTGTACCTCCATACCAAATTTCAGGACCTTGGGCCCTAAAATGAAGAAGCTGAATCCATTTAAAAAATGGCAGGAGGAGAAGAAGGAGGAGAAACATCAGAAAAAGCAATATGGGTTCACCACCACTTCGTGGTGTGGTGAACCCATAAATAAATAAAGATACATCTTTGTGGGGTAACATGATGGAATATAGGCACAATGATTTGAAATGTCAATTTTAACTTACACTTGCAGCAGTCACAGCCACACTTGCAGCCGGCACTGCCACATCCCTTACAGTCAGCACAGCCTGCAGGGGAAAAAAGCTATTTAGACTTCTAGAACATGATAAATAAATACACTGGATACTTAAAGTAGTCTGGTACTAATATCCCGGCTATCATGGAAGAGGGCCTGCATGGTGGGGTACTGTGATTACGAATTACGCAAAATTTTCACTGTCGATTACGATACGAATTAGGTTAAATTCTCAGAGCTGATTCCAAACAGTTACGTGTAAGTGATTAAGAATTATGATGATTTTGGGTGGCTGCCTACAGGTTATGAAGACTAATAGTATTTAAAATACCTGATTACACCTTAGGCCTAATAGGAAAAGAAATGTGTTTCCTGTTTCATTCCTGAAAAAATTGGGGTTGGTAGGTAGGGATTTATGATGATCCTTTTTTTTCTTCAGTGTTCAGTAATATCTATATAAGGTTGCAACTTATACAATACAGTTTTACAGTCTAAGTAAAACTTGCATGAGGACACTTATTTTCAATGTCAATGTTAGAAAACCAATTGAATTGTACAACATTTTATCAGCTAGGTGTCAGATCATGGAGGTAGAAATAATCAGCTCGAAAAATTAATTATTCATGTCCCTTGCATGGGTCCAGCCCATGGTCAAAAAAAGTCTAGAGTTGGCAGGTTTTTCTAGGGTTCGTCGGGAAACAGGAAACAACTTGTTTTTTTCCTGGGCCTTACAAAAAGGGCATACAGGCCCTTCTTCTCTTTGGGGCTGTTAGGAGATTCTCGGTTTAGCTAGTATTCTACAAATTTAACCATGAAAAAAATCGGCCTTCACAGCACTGGTTTACATTCCATTTTTTCTTTTCACATGGAAATAAAAAGTAATATTTGCATTCCTTGCTCATGTATTTGTAAGAGGTGATAACGATTTTCATATGTTTGCACAATTTCAACAAATACAAACAATTTGCAAAATTTTATGAACGAATTCAGACCGAAACTGCAGATTGATCTATTGCAAATAAAGCAGTGACGTCATTATTTCCGTGCATTGCATTTCGTGTTTTCGTCGGTAGGTGACGTTGCAAATAGGCTAGCCAAATTATTTTCCAGCTGACTAGCTGAGTCAAGTGAGCAAAATTCAACGACAACCACAATTTATGCACGCACTACTGAAAGAAATATTTTACATGTGATAGAGTTAGACTTCTCTGCTACCTCTGAGCCTAATGACCAACACGTACCGTGCATTCCCCCAAAATCACAGTTACGCGACCCACATCATACCGCGGATACCGTTATCGCTATCAACCGTAGGCTACACTAAATTTGACGGTACGACAACTTACAGGGGTCTGGCATCTTGTCTGTCTTCCCTCGTAGCGTCTAGGTAGGTCACGAACACAAAGGGCGCCGTGGCGTAGTTGGAAAATGACTGCGTGTCTCGTGATTCAGTCTTTATAGTGTTTCTGCACACGTTGTGCACACGTTGTCATCTCGGACAGCTGCAAAACAACCACCTTGCACACTGCACCTTTTCCTAGTTCGACCGTAAGACACCCTTCAAATGGGTGAATCATAAAAAGAACTGCAAAATTCACAACAAAAATATAAAATTGATTCAAAATAAGACCACTTGTAGACAAAACAAATATATGTTACTTTGTTGTGGGTGTATTGATATGAATCGTTCGTAGACTCGAGGTTTTTATTAAAACAATTTATCAATTCTCCCCCACCAGTAATATGGTATCACCCGCGTGCCGTGTGCAAAACCCGGGAATAATTTAAATGTTTGTGTGCAGTCAACCTCTGTGGGCTGGAGTGTTTATATATGCCTGCAAAACTTACGTAAGCGTTTTTCGATGAAGTAGTTCCTGTTTTCGAGTGATTCCAAGTGTGTTCCTGTTTTCGAGCGCTCAGAAGGTTCTAGATCTGTCATGAGTCAGGGGATGCACGTAGCACAAGGATAGCTTCCACTATGACGAAGCTATAGTAATGGGTTTAGGCATGGAGATAAAAAAAACTCCATGGTTTTACTCTCCAAGCTTAAGCAGAGGTTGTGGGGGAATGATCGTTACCTTTTTATATATGGCCGTTTTTTGTCGCTACCTCCGTCGGTGGCTGCCGATCTTTTCTGGCTAATGGATACTGCCTTTTTGCCACCGAGAGGGATCTGCTTGGAGATTACTAGTACATAGTTTAGGCAAGGGAGTGAGTGGCGGAAAAGGGGACTGAGCGGAAAAATGAACTATGTGGTGGCCAAGCCATGCAAGCTCACATATGCCTAACCAATATGTTTTCCTTATTTGGCTAAACTAGTATTTTTCAACCCAGGTTGAACAACATTATTCTGGTGGCGAAAAGGAAGTTATTAACCCCCTTGTAAGGCATGTGGGGGCGGGCGGGGCGGTTTACAAGTGGGAGAGGTTTATCTAATATATCATATATCATATAGTACTATTTGGTACCGGTAGAGAGCCACTACAACTAGTAGGACCGGCCAAACTCCCCCTGGGCTCAACTCCCCCGTAGCGGTAATTTAGATAGGCGGGTTTAGGGCTCTTAGCTGCCGAAGGAAAACGGCTAACGGCCCGATACTAGTCTGGCACCCAGGGTAGGCTTACACAGGCGGGTCAGCTCCCTGGACGGACCTGAGAAACACTGGGTAACTCGGGGTAGGACGTATGTAATTTCTTCCCCCGAAGGAATTGGTATCATTTCCCGTGCTAGGAGTCTGCTGGCATCCAGGCTACCCTTCATCTACGTCCTGTGTACGTAGCTATAGCCAATTGTGCAGGCCTCCGGGCGTTTTGTAGAATTTTACGCAGTCTTTTGCCGGCCGCGGCGGGTAAAAAACTTCTCTTGAAAACTGGTTGTAGGATGGCCGGCAAAAGAACGCGTTAGAAATTCTACAAAATGCAGTATCAAAACTCCCACCCGCCCGGAGGCCTGCACGGAGGCTATGTGTATGTTGGTTCCATCCCCTTGTCCAATAATGAATGAATGAAGACCTTTATTGTACGAAAATACCCACTGGGTTCAGTACAGGTCACAGGAAAGACGTCACAGTTTGCAATGAATATATACAATGTACACGCTAGCACTAATTCTATGTACTATGGACATATAGTCTAATAATTACGATAATTTGGCTTCTTCTCACTTCTTAGTAATGATGTAGATATACATATATAAGTATAGATGTGTTTTATAATCGAAGGTTTGTCTAAAACCATCAGAAATATGAACTTATCTGTGTTGCTAAGATGTATGAAATGGGGAAACATACATTGCAATAGTTTATAATGTAGTTCAACATCCATCGTCCTCTTAATAACTAAGTCATCGTCATATGTTTTCTGTTTCTTTTTTATGTCACATACGAGGTGCATATACACAATATTCTCAGTATCGTTATGGTGATATCAATGACAATTTAGCATACCTTAAGGGCGAAAGATTTAAGCGGATGCACCTAGATATCGTGTAATGTCTAAATTGTAAGCAAGTATCCAGGTTAGATAAACAGTGGCTAAACATGAGAGTTGATACCGGCCGGATACTGCAGGCAGTGCCTCCCTTCCCGAAGATGGTATCCAGGTATATCGTGCCTACACTAATGGGCGTCATTGCCTTGCGCCTCATGTACGAGTAGTGACGGCGCGGAAAAATATTGACTACCTGTCGGTAGGAATCTAGAACTCGAAGTATGATTTGTTAGGTACGACATTTAATAACATCAGAAGGGTGTATATCATTTTGTACAAACGCCGTGATACATGTGCGTTCATTGTACGACCCTTACAATGGTTGCATGTAATCAGGAAATCTTTTTAAGAGGCATTAAGGGGGCTATATATGTCAGAGCACTTCAGCCTTCACTTAATAGAGATGGTGGACGATATAAACTCCCTGGCACTTTTGATCAATTGCTTACGTCACGTATCAGTAAAGTCTCTTGTGAATAAGGTCACGTGTTTGTAACCGTAACTCTCGCGAGATCACGTTGTGAAGTGATTGGTCATTAATTATCCCGATGAAGGCGACAGTGGTCGCTAAAAATTTGATCTCTGTAAATTGTGTGTTGGAATAAAGTTTAACGTTTTACTAGGAAATGTAGCAGTTGCATTATGGTGTCATTTGAACAATATTGCATCGTTGTTATGTGCATATGTATGAATAGTACTTCTATTTTCCAAACGGGTCTTTGGCAAGTAAGCTCCTTTCATTTATTATGTGGTGTAATTATTACTTTCTTGGCGGACGTATTGTTTTGGGTGGCTGACACGGAAGAGGGGTTTTGTATGTATTCACATCTGCACAGTGTAGGCTGACATTTCGTAGGGTCACATGACAGGATATTAATGACAGGTCACATTAAAAAGAGGTCAAAAAAGACTCTCAACTGATGGAATGTGATGACTTGAAGTTCATTAGAATCTCACATGAAGCAAACATCCGAGGACTGCATGAGTCAACCCTGCACAGTTTCTATCCAAGGCCAAGTCCCGATTCAAGTATGTTATTCAATCTCCTAGCTCGTTCCAGAAATAATAACCCCCGTTAATGATAACCCTAGCCTAAAAACTTCCAAAATCTCATGCTCTTGTTCCAGCTACAGTCAAATTGATGCTGCTAGATTTGCAGTTTGGACAGAATTGCACAGATGACACAGGCTGCCCAATTGTTCACCGTAAGGTCAAAGTCAGAAGTCTCTTCCATGCGGATTGACCCTCTTCTGAATGCTGCACTTGCCTCAAGATGGCGTCCGATTCGCCAGAGAGCATAACCAAGGAGGGACCAGGAAATCATAGAACTGTTTGCGTTATCTTGAACTTCACGTCCAAATACTTGAACGATGTCAATGACTCCTGCTTGGTTTTCAGATTCCAGAAATGCCCTGATGAGAAGTAAGTACGCAAGATGTCTATACGGAACGCGAAGCTTCCCTTCTTTCTGGTTTTTCATCTCGCCTTTTAGCTCTTCTGGCATCGCCGCCATGTCCAGACGTCCGTACGTCATGTCGGGTGAGGAACCCACATTACAGTCCTCTGCGACAGCCTGACGAAGGACGGACACGGCTTCTTCCCACCTCCTGCTGAGGTAGAGAAAGTTCCCGAACTCTGTCATCACCGACAAATCACGTGTGTCGCGCATGACCAGGTGATACTCGTCATTAGCTTGCTTACTCATTTTAGAGGAGAGTTCAGCGTGACCGCACGCCTCTGACAGTCTTGCTTGCACATGGTACATGCGTGCCAAGCTGCGTCTACTTCTGTGATCTTTGGGATCAAGGTAGACAACTGTCTCAAGGAACTGAGTAGTTTGAGCTAGTCCTTCCAGTTTGTGAGTCGTGTTCGCGAGCATACGGTATAGATCTGGGTCACCTGGATCTTCTTCTGATCCTTCCAGTATTTCTCGCGCTTCCTCTAGTTTGCCTTGGCGAACGAGGCTGGCGCATTCAAGGTAGACACCAATGCGCATACCACCTTCAACAGCGGGGAGGGCGCTGTCTTCTCCATATAGTGAATACTTCGCATGGGCTCTCTCAAAGTACACATTTGCGAGAGAGAATTGACCGGCTGCCGCGAGAGCTGCCCCGAGAGAAGCTTCAAAGTCTTCCACTTGGGCGTTTCCCCGATCTTCATCTGGCACACTTTCCAAGAGTTCCATGGATGTAATGATTGTGTCGACTGCTTCCTGTACTTGTGCCACCTTTAGTAAGACCTGACCCAAATTTCTACTGTACTTCACTTTCCTTAATGTCTGTTCTTCCGGAAGCAGGTGCAATGCTCTCTTGAAATTCAGTAGCGCAGCAGGATATTCTGCGTCCTCATAGTAAGCAGAAGCTATCAAAGCTAAACTGTATGCTAGCGAAGAGTCCTTTCCACTTGCATCAGTAAATTTTTCAAACAGATGAACACTCCTTTGTAAACAGGCTAGACCCTTCATTTTGGAACCAGTGGATCGATAGAGCGAGCCTAGTTCATAGTAAATCTTTGCTAGACCTCTTGATTCTACATGTTTGTTCTCCATGATTGTTGCAGCACCATGAAGCTTCTGTATTGCCTCTTTCTTGTACATCTTAGAGGTAGCAAGTGATATCCCTGTAACGCCCATCGCTGTTGCCATGTCTACACCCTGAGTTTGTCCCAGTCTGTCTAACATTTTCTCGGCAGATTCGCTCATGATCAGCGATTCCCGATGTCTGTCCATCTGCTGAAAAAGGGCGGCAATGTTGACCATGCTAGCTGCTATGCTTGGGTGGTCATTTTCTTCGCCATGGAGTTGACGTTTGATGTACAGCGATCGTTGTAAGGCCTCTAATGCCATGTCGTCTTCACCCATTGCCAAGTAGATAGTCCCGATGTTGTTGTATCCAATAGCTATGTCCGGGTGAGCTGTGTCCCTCCCGAAAATACTAAACTGCATGTCCAACGCTTTCTTGTAGAACATCAATGCATCCTTCCTTTTCCCAAGTTTGCTGGCGACGTTCCCTCTATTGTTGATGGCTTTGGCTAGAAGAGGGTTACCTCGACTCATCCTCAAAATCTCTATGACCTTCTGATAGCATTCATCTGCTTCGACGTACTTGCCTGAATTTTCCAAAGCTAAACCCAAGTTGATGTACGTTGCAGAAAACTTTGCCGGGCGATCTTCTAACGTCCGAACGTTTAGCAGTTCGAGGGCCTTCCTCTGGTGTTCTACAGCTTCGTCAGCTCTGCCCAAAGCTAGAAGGTCACGTCCAATCATCATGCGCGACATGGCGATGTTTTCCGGTAAGTTCAAGTAATCAGTGCGTTGTTTCACGTCTAATGAAGCTTGGTGAGTTTGCAGGGCGTCCTGAAACGTCCCCATGAAGTGAAGGAGGTTACCCGTGGCATCCAGCACGGCAGTGTCGCCAGGGTTTTCTTTATCAGCCTGACGGAAATACTCAAGGCTGGTACGATACTGCAGTAGCTTACTGTACACCAGGCCTTTGGTCTTCGGTCCATTATCCACGAGATTCCCAGACAACATCTTCGACAACGTGTTCGCGAACTCCTCGAAAGGATCACAGAGTGCTTCTTCAATTGCCTCCCTCAGACTCAACAGCACGCTGTAAAACGCCACCAGTAGGCCCGGGTCTTCAACGTGAAACAGTACTTCAGTGCGTTCTTCTTCTTTGATTTGCAATGGAACAGTGGTATTCATCAAACCCCTTTGTGAACCGTGTTTCAAATAGCATTTCAGTCGTAACTCCATAGAAATCGCAACTGCCACCTTTAGATTCTGTGCAGCTTTCGCATTCAACACTCCCTTCTTCTGCAGCTCTTCAATTCTCTCCCACGAACTACATGACATGATGCCGTAGAACCTGGCAAGCCCCTCCAGTAGTGTGCTCGGCAAGCGGTAGATCTCTTTCTTGACGTGGAGCAGTTTTCCACTTTCGTCCAGATTTGAAAGCCTGTCATCGTAAGTTTCAATGTCAGCAACCAAAGCCTTTACCGCTCGCTGTTCCATAACAGATCGTAGCGGCCGGGTTGTATCATGTGTCTTTGGATCATCGTTGAGGGAAATTCTGTGTAGACTGACTGACACTTCTTCTCTGCTTCCCTTCTCTTGTACGCTAACGTGCAGCTTAGTTGGTGCAGTGAGAATGGCCATCATTTCATGCCTGTATTCTTGCACTAGCTCTTGCTGGCCCGCTATCAACACCACAGAGCTCAGCACATCAGGTAGGTGGTATCCTTCCTTTACAGCAGTCTCTTCTGCCTGCAGGACTGCCATGTTCTTCGGAGTTCGGATCAGCTCGAGGGCGTCTTTTTCCTCGGTCTTGTGCCTACCTGTAGGTACCTTGCTAGCCCACGGCATTGCGCCGTCGAACGCAAACCCTTGTGGCGTAACCTCGTCGAAAAACCAGTCGTCCTGTGGATTTCCTGAATAAAAGTCGTTAAGGGATCTGATCCCCACGGCTGGAAGAATCGTTTCTCCGAGATTGACAACCTTCAGTTGGAGATAGTGTGTCAGGAGCCTGAAGTATGCTACATGTGGCCCAGAGTCGCAGCCCTCTTCTACGAGGATAGCGAACTCGAGATCAGAATATGGCGTCGTTTCCTCGCGAGCTAGTGAACCTAATCCGATGACGGCGTGCTGACATGGCGGCGGACCTATAACAGCCATGCACTCTTCGACCATTTTCTTGACCATCGCTCTTATTTCTGCCGCAATCTTGACGTGTAAGGTGTGCACGTCATTGGCCCGCTGGACATAGTCACTTGGGTTGTCACCCTGGATCGGTGACAGAGCAGACAAGGCTTCTTTGCACTCATTTCTGAGGCCGGTTAGCGTTGAAATATGGCTTTCTCTTTCAACTTCTTGTTCACGAGGCTTGGTGCAAACCTTTTGACAGACATTACGCACAAAGTTGATTCCTGTTTCGGATATTTTGCCTCGAATTTTAACTCGCTCAAGTTCGTCGTTGCAACGGGCCAAGGCTGCATTGAACAGTGCAGCTGCTTTTACAAGAGATTCCGCATCGCGGCGCTGTTCATAAACATTGCCCAGTCCCACCAAGGGTCTGATTTGGTCACTGTGGTTACTGATATCAGTTTCCGTGACTAATCTAAGAGCCTGAGCGAACAGGTCCTCAGCTCTGTCAAGTTCGCCATGGTCAAGTGCATCTCTAGCCCGCCTTTCAAGTTCCTTGGTTGCCATTTCACTCCTGAATGAGCAAAACAAGGCGAAATCGGAATTCGTTACAGAGCATGAAAAGGCTGTCAGCATTTTCCATATCAAGAGACAGTCTAGTTAGAAATACCACAGTAAACACATGTACAACAAAAGAAACTGTTACATAACACTGCAGTCATTAACACACATCAAATGTGATCGATCAGTATCGAAGATCACATGCATGCAGAGGTGCCGGTGCGTTTACAATTATCACTGAGATACAGTAGGAATAGTGCACACAACACTAACGTTTGCATTCAGACGTATCAGAGACATCGAAGTGCCCGGTTGGAATAGACACACGTACAAATGTAAGGTTTGATGAAAGAAAGTTTTGACATTCGAATTCGCTTCCCTCCCCTAGAATTTGACTGTCAATTTGCATGCACATGATATAACATATACACCTTTGACGCCTCCGTAACAGACGAAATTCATTTATATTTCCGTCTTTTCTTTGTGGGGTTTGAGGGGGGGGCAGGAGGGTGTCCCAAGCTAAGCAAGTATTAACTCACCTACTGCAGTTTCAAGAGTGAATGTCGGTTTCAGTAGCAAATACTCGAATTTACTAGCCCTTATACATGTATAACGCCGCAGTTTCCACCATTTCATTGTCAAAATAGAATCTAACAGACAAGAATACGTGACTCACCCTGCAGAGCAAATGTAGTATCCTCCAGGTGGCAGTTTGGGTGTGTCTTTCCCGGCGACCTCTTGTCGCCCAGCAACGCATGAATACATACGGTTCAAAGGTTGCATCCATCAAGACACTTATCGAGTTTGCTTTGTCCCTTTGGTTTCGCCCACATTGTAATTATACCGGGCCAGCCGAAACCATTTACCGTGACAGAAAAGGCAGCTTAACGTTAGTTTATCCGGTGTCAAGCGATATTTTGCCCCGGCCAAATATTTGCCACTATCAGCTAGTTGGGGGTTTCCAAAACGGGCAAGGGGTTGAAGGGGTTTAGTCGTGATGTGGATACTAAACCTAACCTTACCCGAACAATGACCCTAATACTAACCCTATTGTAGCCCTAAACTTAGGCACACTCACGTGCACACACCGACTGGCGGAGCAGACATTTGGCGCGACACTGGGGCGGTAAAAACTGGCACTAAATACGTACACGGCATACATAACCTTCCCTTCATCCGGTCACGTGCATCGGCGCACGCTACTGTTGAAAACGCCATGGACAAACGATTCATTGTAGTCTTTAGCAGTGTCATTTATTGGTTACCAGATCTAGAACAGAACTGTAAATGGCTCTGACGCTGAAGGCGTTGACGACTGCAGTGCAATAGATATATGACCGGTGTACCCTTGTTTGAATGACCCAAATAAACACCATCTTGTATTTCATAGCCCCTTGAGAACTGCATGAGCAGTAGCCTTATGATAAACACCTGTACGGGTCCGAGTTAATTGTGCAATGTATCAATCGTTACTATATTTGGATACTTCCACAAACCAAGAAAGCGACAAGGCTCTACTTCTAAAACGAACAGAGAATACAAGTAACAAACGGATAGTTCCCTACTGCTGCTGTCGTCATCATATTTTCGTTAGATTTCTTGATTTCTAAATATAGGTGCACGTGGTTACAGTACAGCAATCAATCAATCAAAGCCGGTATTTTGTACGATAGCTTGATCGGCCATTTGGTCGCTTTCAACATGGTTGAAGGGAAACACCACTAACAATACAGTAAACAAGTAGATAAATGAATGAACAAAAGTAAGTAAGATATTGAGGTTTATTGAGGAAAAGCTCTCCTTAAGCTGCCTACCCGAGCCGAGGGTGGCAGCTATTCTTCCAGGAGAGGGAGAATAAATCATAAATCATAAATAATTTAGTCCATGTTTTTCCGTGTTTCAAAAGTGTCTTAAAAGTCTAAGCTCCGTATAAACTGGACGGTCCTGATGTGTGACTGTAGGGAGTAGGGTATGCATGTACACAGGACCTACAGTTCTAACGTAAAGGCGTACGTAGGTAAACGTCCAAGTGCTCATCACTATCTACTGCGTCGTAACAACCTCTCTTCACACGTCAGTTAGTAGGATTGTGCTATAGCACTTTTCTACACACGTCAGTGAATGACGTTGTGCCACATCACTTTTTTTCCCACGTCAGTGAGTGACATTGTGCCACAATACCTCACCTTTTCCCCGTGGCTTATCATGCCCTCCCCATACCATTGGAACAGACGACAAACTGACGCACGTAAATGCCCGAGAACAGCTGGTGACGTCAGTGTTTCAGCTGGTGTAAGCCGGTCCTGACTGCCCTTCGCAATTAGCAGTCAACCAATGAGAGAATGGCAATTATCGTTTCGACCAATGAGTGAATGGCGACATGTCGTTTGCATTAGGATTTTACCGAACATAAGGCAAGGATTAGGAACAGACTATAGTATGACGTTAATTTTTTACTCTTTGAAATACAGTCGAGTGATGACTCGAAATAAAAATTTGCCGTTATCTACATGAGTTGTACTATGTATGTCTAATACATGTTGTACTCTATGAATCTTCGGCTGTATGCATGTACGATTTATACTGCATTTTTTTCAGGTCGACCCTTGTGTATCTTTATTGGCTCTGGGAGAAAGCGCAGAACTTGAAATGGCGACAGCTGGTCTCAAACATGCCCTACATACGGCGGACAGTGGTCATGGTACATATACTACACTATGTACTAGATAAGTGCTACGTACCGCGGAAATTATTTAGATACATATGTACAGGTCAAAAATTTCCAGTACATCAATGTGTACCTGTACTGTACTTGAAGAGACTAACAATAATGTATAACCTTTTCACAAAAATGTGTTATTCTCACCACAATGTCAATGACGAAAACTTTAAAAAGATAAAAACATTGTATAGGCGATACAATCAGCACGTGCATTACCAATATTACCACATGACACCAAGAACACTAAGATAAAACAGTTCCTGAATTAGTCAAACGGGTATTATTCAATGAACAATTAGGTTTGCACCAAAGCTACACTATTCTGTTAGGCCGTGTTTATGTGAAGATTCGGGTAACTCACATTCCTCACATCTGGTCCACGTGCCACACACTCCTGTGAAACCGTGTCCGATCACAATTCGCTTGAGCTACATTTATTGCTGTTTGATGATATCGATGAGGTGGCGTGTTATTAATGTCAGAGGTCAACGACCTGCTTGCTTATGCCCCCCTCCCATCGTATCTCGGCCGAATGCCGAAGTGGTCCCACCAGAGGCGGTGAAGCTCGCCCTAGAACGGACACATTATTTGACCATTACTGCTCTTTAAGTTGCTGCCACGTAAAATTTGGTATTGGATATAAATAAAGAAATATCACCCTGCAATCCATGACCAGGCGAAGTTACATTGAAATCACATTGCGTTCAGACGCAAATCGCGATACGGGAAAACCGATTCGAAACCACCTCTAGAAGTGGCTTGGGATCGAGGCGCTTTCAAATTAATGTGATTTGGAGCGTTCAGATGGAGCCACTTGAAACCGGCTTCGGGGTAAACCACATGTAAAGTGCCTTGGGTGACTTCACATAAACACGGCCTTAGGGGGCATAGAATCTTGCAAATCATTCAGTCACTTTTCATCGGTGGAACTGCAAATAATTAATTGCCAGTCACTCATTGGTTGAGTTGCTAATTGTGACTGATGGACAGACAGGCTCCGGGCCTAATCAAAGAGACAGAATAGTTCGGGTACTTTTAGCCATGCAAAACTGCCTTAAAATTAGTCCCGATTGTCAGCAACAAGGAATAATTGACAAGCGTTTTCTTGGTAATCCACGCTTGACTGCCGTGAAACTAACGGTTGTGCTAGATAGAGCACATCCGTCTTCCGGAAACAAAACGTTTAAAGGTGGGTTGCCGAAAGCTCCATTTCTCTAAATACACGCTGATGCGTGTCATTGTATGTTTCTTATTAAAACGTGCGTTTCTGTCTGATTAAAGAGTAGAGTGCACTTATTTTGGGAAACACGTATTAGACGTCTTGTTGCCAGGCACTAATATATAGTAAAAAAGGCAGCGTAAATGTGAATTATGTCATGACATCCCGTCGCTTAGTTTTATACTTTATTTGTTGCTAATGCAGTGCATATGAAAACGATAAAGTAACGCAGAATATAAGATGTTTCATAATTAGTTAGGTTGGCGGTAGACCACTGCATTTGCTGTGAGTGATGATTTGGGCCTCCAATTATGTGTAGGTAGTGTTTTGTAATTGCTGCGATTTTGTGTAAGCGCTGTAACGGGGAGATTACAGTGGCACAGCGGTGGTCGAATTACCTGTCCCAAACATTTCTTGCAGAATTATCCCACTAAATTTCACCATACTCCTCAACATCATTTACCATAGGTGGCCATGGAGTTTTCCCTGCAACCGAAAAAAAAAACAAATAAAGCAAGTCCATGCACCCATTCTGGACAGTTTTCTGAAGGTCTATCAGGAGCCGTCCCTCCGTTTGCGCAATTGCTTAAAATTTGTGGGGAAGGGACTAATAGTTTACCCGATTTACTCTATGAAAGCATTGCTTCTAAAAATGGGTGAAATAACATTTCATAAGGTTTTGAAATTCAGATGTTAGCCCCCCCCCCCCCAATACAACTGAATATGTACGACACATGCACGGCTATGTGTCTATATCCCAAGAATGTCCCCAGTTTGCGATCGTGCGTACGACAATCGTATGACGAATGTGACCTATTTGGACAAGACATGGTTTTAAAAAAAGAGTTCTCGTTCAGAAAAGCTTCATAAACACAACACGACATCATGACACATGTAGGCTGACGACAGTCAGTCGTAGTAGTAATTCCTACAATACGCTACGGTTTTATCCTAGCCTTTAACATTTCCCTCTCCGAAGAAAAATCATTTGGCACCAAAATGTCTAGGTGACTATTGGGAGGGATACAGCAACCAGAACATCGTCTATCAAGAGGAAATGATGTACGGGTTGTCGTCTTAAAGTATTACTTTTACTTTCACACCTCGTGCATAAATGGGAGTAATCATTCAACTACTCTTAGTTTAAGTCCCGGCCACATACATCGTACGTCGCACATACGATGGTGGGTTTATTCCATGACGATGGTACGTAGCCTGGTTACCAAACTTATTTTAGCTCCCCAGTCCTATAATGCTATTTGTGGAGAGGATGTAGGACTTGGGAGCTAAGATGGGTTTGGCAACAAGGTTATGACGATGGTGCCGTACCTCGAAAGTTTCTTAAAAATCGGGTGCAATAATGTGAGAATTGAATGATTGTACTCGTTTCGTCCCAAAACTACGACAAAAAATCGAAGGTGCATCGTACAACGTATATGGTCGTGGTTTTACATGTAATGCAACAAGAACGATCCCCGGTTTTACCCGCCGTGTTTAGTACTGAACATGGTTTCTTGCAAGTGAGATTTGTTTGCACATATCCATGACCCATTGTGTGGTGACAGGTGAGGTTTGTTACCAGAGCGCACAGATGTATCACAAATACATCACAACAAGAGTCATTGCCAAAAGTAGGCGCCATGTCAAATCCTAAATACTAGTAGGGGTTGGTTGAGACAAATATTGTCATTTGATCGGCTCTCAGTAAGTCCCTGCGCTGCTGGGACGATATTATCAATGTAGCAACGTAGCAAACGCAATTATAACATTCTGACTCTATGTATCATTACCAGAGATGTGTTTAAATAGCCGTTTTCCTTCAGTATTTTAACCTGGAAATTAGACGAGTCATTTAAAAGTCTGTTGTCACGTAAAGGTTTGTTCCACAACAACTGTAACGGGTCCAATCTAAAACAAAGCACTGAGTAAGACTACTATAGCTAATTACATTTATTTACTAGTAATCTAGCACAATAGATCTACACATAGATCCTGAGCTATATGATATTGATAGAAAACACAATGAGGAGTTGTATGTCTACTCTGCAGCTACATATTTAATATGTCTATGCATTATTAACGGATTCTTTTCTTTCTTTTTTTTCTGCATGGAGAATTAACATAAGTTATCGCCGGCTCACTTCTGTCGGCCGTGGTAGCCAGCGACAGCAGGGAGCCGCACTAATTACGGAGGATGGCACCTAAGCTAGGAAAAAACAGTTTTAGATCTTGGTGCTTTGTTCTGTCACGGCCTGCTTGAAAATCCACCCGTAACAAAATCGTACAACGCGTTAACAACCTTCGACGAATGAGACAGTGCCGTCAATAAGGAGAAATGTCACTAGCAGAGATGATAAAATATCGCATGCCGCCGCAATTTCAATAGGCGTAAAATTACCCTTTCTAGAATAATATACCACACTATCATGCCATATGTACGGTAATGGACAACACACATTAACGGACGTCGCAGGTCTGAGACTTCCAAATCCCTGTGAGGATTACATCTGTGACACATACGAATGATGGACCTGCCTTAATTACGCGATGTCTGGTCAGTCAACACTTACTCGTGACTGAAAATGTGAATCTCACACCTTACGTCTCAGTTCCAAGCATCTCCACTGAGGGCAGGGCGTCGCAATGATATTTGCTCTTACAAGACGTTGGAAAAAGAAGCCATACATTAACGGCCCAAATGAACGGACATGTACAATATGTCAAAATTTATTTCATCATATGTGTTACTGTAATACAATGTGTAAGATAAATGGGTTCATTACGAATATATGGGTCTGTTAAACTTAAATCATGTTGCCTTATCTTGTTATATTCTGTCTGACCCTTACCTCAATAAATAGTGGCCAGGAGGCCGATTTGAGTATTTTATGAATAGACAGAAACTCAAACAAACTAACAGGCAGTCAAGTGAAAATAATTTCTCACTCGACGATACGCAGAAACATCTTTGAAGAGTTTCCTAAAAAAAAAAGCACATCTAGATAGCAGAATTTTCTGTCATGTCTTTTGCACTGTGTTGCTAGTACGTAGCCAACTGATGCCATATGTTACAGATGCTCGTACCAGTTACAATTAGCACTAATTGGAGGCACCTTCTCGGATGACAAAAGTGGAGAACTATTTATTTCTCTCAGATTAGGTGAGTTTGTGTCTGTGGAATGCCTGGAGAGGTATTTTATCAGGTGGTGCGCCGCCGAAGCCGTACGTGAGTTGGTTCCTAACCCGCTGCATCATGCCGGGGCGCACCCGGGCCTGACCCGCTCATACCGGCCCCGGATTAGCGGCTCTGCAACTGGACTGCGTGAAATCAATTCATAATTGCTGAAGTGTTAGCTTTTACGTGCAGACAGCGATGCGTGCTGAGTGGTGTTGTCCATCCTGTTAGTGGTGATCTGTAGCCTCTACCAGGCACCGCGGATCGCTGGGAAAATAGTAGAGATTGGCCGAAATAAAGGGATTGTATACCAAGGGAATTAGCCGGCCAGAGAGGATCCAATCTGTAGGTCGCAAATTGGATCTTTTCTGACCGGCTAACTCCCCTGGTATACTATCCCTTTATTTCGGCCAATCTCTACTATTTTTCCAGCGATCCGCGGTGCCTGGTAGAGGCTAGGGATCTGTTCAAGGTACCGACATTGAGGGATCGCTTCGATGTTGCTTTACGGCGCCAGGTATACCAAAAGGTCTGATACCTAGTCCGTACCTGATTTACATAACTGAACCTTGCAGATACAAAAAAAACCACCCACTGATTTACAGGTTGCTGGCATGTTTTTTTATTGTATATAAACACCATATAAAGCGCAAGACCGAGTGGCGGACAACTCTATCACATTGCTAATTTTAAGCATGACAAAGAAGAATACAATCAATTACAAAACAGAAAATGGGCGTTAAAAATACAAATATAACATGCAAATAATGGATAATGCTGTGAAATTGAATGGTAAATTGTGGGCAGTTTATAAAAACATTTTATCAGTTGTAAACCGTTTTTGTTGACAATATAGGTTTAAGTCAAGGTCAAAATATGTCACGAGGTGGAAGCCCCTATATGATAAGTTAACACAAGCTTGTTCAGACAAAGCCTGCCAGGACGTTGTTGAATAGTATACCTGCGAAGTTTTCCAAGTGAATTTTAAATGTGACCCAAACATAGAATGCAATGCGGGGGAGTATCAGTATCAGTGCATTCTTAGCGCTGGCGGAAATGACGGCAGCCAGTACCATTCTCAGTACCTGCCGTGACGTCTACGCGGACGATAGGACACTTACAAGACAATGTCCGAGAGTCGTCTTCCCACGCCACGCGCACGTACGTACGGCGGCGCTTTTCCGCCCGGATGTCAACATTTTACACCTTTTCATCTTCAGCTGCTGATGACGAACGGAGTCTGATGTCATCACGAGCTCCGCGCGCTGATTGGTTGGCGCTGATTGGTTGAAGCAGCAGACATAAGACTGGAGCATCAGCCAGGAACGCTCAGCTGCAGACAAGCATTAGCTGCTGGCAGAACACATTTCAACGTCCAATTGCAACTGTGTGCTCGGTCAATGAGTGAACCAATTCTTCCGCTGAGCCAAAGAAAACTTCCCCCACTTTTGCAGGCAAATGGTTTACAGGATGAACCTTTCCACGGCATCGCCTGCGTCTGTGAAGTCCAACTCGTCGGAGGAAGACTACCGGTCCCGCCTGACGTGGGGAGAGGACGTGGCTATAGGGTCCTACATCGCAGTCGTGGGTGAGTCGGAACCGGTTCTTGGCAAAATATCACACGTCATATTCGTCACATTTATATTTTTAGTAGCGTTGCCGTTGTGTTGTTCTCCTGGGCTATCGGACAAGAGATTGAAAGATCATGGATTCGATTCCTGGCATTTTTGGCAAGACGCTGTGCCTTTGGGAAAGCAACTTTACATGACTTTCCTCACTCCACCCAGGTGTAAAAATGGGTAACCGTTGGGAAGGTAAATGCGGTGGAAGGAGTGGGATGGGCTCCGCCTTTCAATATCGTGCCCTAGACCCAGTACTGTGGATCAACAACCTACTGCCGTTATACGGCATCAAAGGGGCTTTGGGACCTTTACCCTTTTTATTCTAGTGAAAACACTACAGGTCGCGAGTTAAGTGTTCAGGAATATCTGTACTTGTCTATCGTCAGTGTGGAGATAATCACAAAGGCTTTTTGTAAACAACTGCAATCATAAGCCAGGAGGTAAGGAGAATATATACATGTTTCTAGTCCGGTGTCATTAGATATTCAGCTCACAACACCGATTTAAAGACCCCATTGTCCTGTAACTTTTTACATATGCCTCATCGTTGTAGTCAAAGAATTGGTCTTGTGTAGTGAATCTTACAAAGTGTTCAACGCGCTCTTCCTGAAATAGCACTTTCTTTGTCTACCGATGATTCCGGTTTCTCGCTCCTGTATTTGGATGATTCAATCTTACCCCACGCACTCAATGTACAGCATTAGGGATATGCTTCTACAGGGCATGGTTTATTGGATCATGCACGCATTCTGGACTTAAACGAAGTGTGTTGCCGCTAGAATACATATGTGCGTAAATTACACTGTGCATATATTTGGTCAAGGACATATAAACGTTACCGCTTTTCCTTACCGTTGCAGATACACTATTTCAAAATCAGTTAGTTGCGGATTTGGGCTATTTTCATATGTGCGTAAATAACACTGTACATTATTTGGTCAAGGAAATAGAAACATTTCTTCTTAACCACTGCAGATACATCACTCCGAAATCAATTAGTTGCGCATTTGGGCTATTTTCAGACCACAAATGTATACTTGCTTGCTCTCAGGCCCTTGTATTGAAACACAATGACCTGAGATATTGTCTAGTGGTCATGGTGCCTATGGCATGTGGAAAAAATAATTAACTCTATTAACTTCATGAACATAAAACTTGGCCTTGAAACTATTTTGTCAAGATCTACAGGATAGCATACTATTGTATGCTCCAAGACCTTCTCTTTCATAGCTGCACCAATGGGTCAAAAAATATGTATGATGAATTCCCTCAAGATGATTTTCGTCAACTTTTCAGCATCGAAGTCTCGTGTTATCTTCAACATAACATGTGCCTAAATTATCTATCCTTTTTCAAATGTAGAGTAATAAACGTACTTTAGCGTAGTTTCCCTGTCCTTTCAACGTCTTGAAAACTCAGTTTCGAATCGATATCTCAGACAAGACCTGCTAGCTAAGTCTCTACCTAGTTCACCTAGCAACATCTGGCAAAGTAAACCCACTAATTTCACGTGGGAGGGTATCCGCTTCTTTCAACGGTTGGCTTCAGATTAAATTTGTGACAGTTCAGAAATGAACTAATCCGTGTGGCGGACCAGTACATGTGTTCAAATGTTTAATAGAGGCCGCCACATCTACATACTACCTAACTGCACAGTACACAGCACCAGCCAACGCCAGGAAGCAACAGGTGACTGGGTGTTTTAATGGGCGAGCCAGGTTTACAGGCTTCGTAGTGTTGATGTAACGGTTGGCCTTAGCCTGCGTTTCTTATTAGCATTTAAAACACAAATTACAAGGACAATGTGACGTCCACTCAAGTTACAACTTATTTTGTTACGACAAATTGACACAAAATAACAATTATTTAAGTCATGTGTACAGTGGCGCGCCCCTCTCTCCCTAACTACGATATACATGTATAATGAGTAAAAAATGAAATGCTGTGATTATAATGCATTAACGGAGAACCTCTATGTAAAAGATGAAGTTTGGAATTGTCAGATAAGTTATAATTATTAAATGATTTTTCGCGTTTCAGGACACAAACACATTGACGCATATTATACTGGTCTCTGTGTGTAGGAAATAACAAGTCCACATTCGAGGAAGACTGATTGCTTTCGGGAGGCTTTCCTCCCTTAGTACGTACGTAAATGCCCACCGTTCGCTTTGTGAAACGCTGAAATAGCAGCTACAGATGTAACAGTAATAGCCTGGTACTCAATGGATGTGTTAGTAGGTAGCTACAGGTAATTCCCTCAACAAAGATGGGCGACAGACAAGGTTGTTTAGGGACTGGTAAAGGCATTAAACCTCACTTTCCTGTCTGAACTGATTTCCCCAGTTACCGACAGAGTTATGATGGGAATCTGCCTGCCAGATAAAGTGTCAGTCAGCGGAAAGATTGAGATCCGTGTTTTAGAAACTGTTCGGGCCTTGTGGGTACTGCAATGTTGATGGTACGGACATACTGATTCCATTTGATGGATGTCGTCCTCTGGGAACCCAAAAACGTATGCAAGCGTGCAAAAAGAGGTGCCTTCATTATAAAATCTAAGGAGTCAGGAAGTCGACTAAATGACTGAACACACAGAGCACGGTATACCAAACAATATATATTTTTGTTCTTTCATATCTTCCTCGACTTTGGAAGACTTGATGATGCAAGCAAGTGGTAATCTGTACCTAAGTGAAAAGTATGTGCTTTTGATACGGACGAAACTTGATGCGCGCGTGGATGTCATCCATATAATCAGGTCAGTGTGGCCTAATGGAGGGAAGGCAAATAACAAAAGCCTTTGTCACGGCTTTGCGGCTTTTTCGTAGATTCCGGGTGAATAAAGTGAATCCGCCCTCAGAGAGCTACATTGTAGATTCTACTCCCTCTAGAACACATCGGTGTTAAGGCACAAGCTTGTAGATTGGGAAGGAACAAAATATGCTGTAAAAATGCTCACTTGCTGGGAATATCATGCTTAAAAGCAAAAAGAGGAGAAGTTGAGCCTAAGACTCAGGAAAATCTGACTTTTTCGCGTAAATGCTTTTTTCAACATAAGCTATTCAGTAGAGATAGCTGTGGTGATACAATATACATAAGTAGGACTATGCTACCACACTACAGTACCATGCTATACCAGGAACTGTCAGGCAGTCTGCACACACGCTTTTGCCATTCTTCTTATTCAAAGCCCTGTTGTCTATCAATGTACTGTCAAGGCAATCTTTGTCTTCTTTACATAAGACTAAGTCAGGGTATATGACATAGTGATGTCAGGCGCGCAACAGGAAATTTCCCCAAATGACGACGTAACCCTTGTCTCGCCTGGTCTCGCGAGGGTTCTCGAGATATCACGTCTGTCTAGTCGCCTGCTGAAAGGGCTTCAAGGAGGAACGCCCATAATGAAATTTGTTATCCAGAAATGAGTCTGAGATAAAATGAAGTTACGTGTGCAGCATAGCATGTCCAGAACGGGAGATACTAGTAGTCACATCAAAACCGGAAGTTCTGCTACAGTACCATTGAAAGTCGCTGGGAGAACCATAATCGACCTTGTCCTTTATTTTATCGATACCTAGTATATTACCTACCCAACTATCAAATATCATTAACATCGATCCACAGTTTTTTGAGATGCACACACGACACCGAAACATTGGCTTGGCCTGCTCGATAATAAGAAGAAAATGACATGATGCATATTCCAGACACTTTAATCTATTACAAGTTTTACTTTGCATGTCTCAAAGTCGTTTGATCAATCTTGGGTTGACAAAAATAATGAGAGGGGTACATGAGTCATTTAAGAATTGAAAAAAAAATGTGTGAGCATTGAGGTTTACCCCACGTGACAACAATGTTTGTCTCTGAGCATTCCAACTGACAGTTTATGAATCACATGCAGTGCCAGCTTTCCCCGAATTTGCAGTAGAATTGCAAGTGCATAAGTAATATACTTCGGCACCGTGGTGTTGCTGCAACAACATATATTCTTGTAAAATGTTGACAGTGTCCCGTCACATATGCCCTGCGATCTTTATCAAGTCACAAAACTAAGGTTATTCTTGGAATAGCCGTGCATGTATCCTGCGAAATCATGGAACAGACAGCCTTAGATGCTTGTGGGCTCGGTTGGTTCTGTCGCAACCTGCTTGAAAAAAAATTCTACTGCATCAAAATTGTACGACCACCTATGGCGAATGTGACCACGCCTTAACACTTTTTCCAGGTTTATCCGTGTTTGTTACTGTGTGATGATCTTTTTTGTCTAAAATGTTCCCATTTGACCACATCGTCCCCACACCTTTATATCTCAAGAAATAAAATCCAAAAGAAGGCGGTTACCGGTATACCCAGTCTGCTGTCGTTAGGACTATTCTTCACAAATCATGACAGGCACGTTAATTTGACCCGTAGGTGCTCGTTAATTAGATTAGTCCTAAACCTACGCGCCTCATTGACCCCAGCCTTACCATGATGTCGTCGGTATTATCTGGAGCTTTTTTTAGGCTTGACATGCAATTTTCTCCTAATGCGAGGGCCTTAGATAGGCGTCACTATGCAGTAAAACACCAAATGATGTCCTGCGAGGGAAATTATATATTTCGGTGCATATACAGTAGTGTTGGGCATGGGCAGCGCCCTTCAGCTGTGTGAATGGTGTGTTCAGTACCAAGGACAGGGCCCTTCAGCTGTGTGGATGGTGTGTTCAGCACCAAGGACAGGGCCCTTTAGCTGTGTGGATGGTGTGTTCAGCACCAAGGACAGGGCCCTTTAGCTGTGTGAATGGTGTGTTCAGCACCAAGGATAGGGCCATTCAGATGTGTGAATGGTGTGTTCAGCACCAAGGACAGGGCCCTTTAGCTGTGTTCAGCACCAAGGACAGGGCCATTCAGCTGTGTGAATGGTGTGTTCAGTACCAAGGACAGGGCCCTTTAGCTGTGTGGATGGTGTGTTCAGTACCAAG